TTTCAAAGTCTTATAACCCTACAGTGTCCTGTATGATTTATAGCTAATTCGTCCCTGATCGTCCCTCAATCATTCTATAATCTATATCTCCGCACGCAGTTTAAATACTATGAAATAAAAGGAGTAAAGATGATAATAGGCAAAATCGGTTGAAACGTGCAACCCGGCTCCAGGCTTGACATATATACACACATATATATATATATATATATATATATACTTATTCATTGTATATGACCGTCCAACAAAAAATAAAAATCCACATTTTTTGATAAAAATTCAAATCACGAATTTTTATCGATTAATTAATATTATATAAAAAATAATAATATAAAATGCTAATATTGTATACATGTTGCTTACTTTTTAAAATAAAAATAAAAAAGAATTTTTAATATCTCATTTTTCTATTCGTTTTTCCTTTGGAATCGGCCCTACACATTATATGTCACAGACATATATGCAGCATCTATTTCATTTAACGTCTATGGATTAAACATAGGTCGAAACACGAAAAATCGAAATATCTGCGGACAATTTCACACCGTGGCGTCACGCGCAGTTACGCGTCTTTCATGTACTCCAATAAAAATCTGGACATAAAACAACCAATTTTGATTGGTCCACCTTTCATATGCTTCCGAAAGACAAAAAAAGATAAGAAAAGATAGAAGAAAAGGAGAAAGAAGTAGTAAGTGTATTATACTGTTCCCTCTCGTGGGATTTTCACAAAACAGCGTCATGTCCAGATTCTTATTAGAGAATCTCTAATTGTGTACATTTGATTGTGAATTCGTGTAGATTTGAAAAACATCTAATCTTTGTCATACATCTCTATCCGAAAATCATAAAATAGAGAGAGAGAGAGAGAGAGAGAGAGAGAGAGAATGTGTGACAGTAAAATCCTACGAAAAAGAATTTCAAAGATTTTGTTAATCCAACAAGACAGTTTCAATCGATGGATTTGTGCGCATTCTTTTCTCTTCCCACTTTCAAATAGATTTTTTAATCAATCACAGCGCAGCAGTGTGAAATTATCGGCGATTCTTTGAATCGAAATTCGAATACGTTCAATCGATCGAAAATACCGGACACAAAGTGATCATGTTGCATGCGTTTTATACGCATTTAGTCAGACCTATATAATACGCAGGTAGCAAGTGAAACGCATTTCAGATTACAATATCCCTACAATAGGCCTAAGTGAAGTTCATGCAACTTTCTGCATCTTGCGTTCTGCGTCTTGCATATAATGTAAATTGGTTAGGTTAGTTTCTATAGCGACTTTGCGGCTCTCGTTCTGCATAGATCAAATTTTTCTTATCCGTTCGACGTGCAGTGTATACGCAATAAGAATCTGGAGTGTCGTGAATTAATTAACGTGAATTAATTAACGTGAGTGGTCGCGTGAGTGAGTATCCAGAGCAGTGGAACAGTCAACGAATAGCAATGACAGCGGATCACTTCCGGTGAGTCGATTCGTACGAATCATCGTTTTGTTGATTACATTTACACAAATATTCATTGTCTTTTGAAATAGAATCTTAACTATTATATGCGAATGTTATATTTAATCAAATATGCGACAGTTTTATCAAATAAACTTCGTGCGATCGTAGCATATCTCGCTACGTCGCGCTAAAAGATATTAGTACAAAAAAATTAGATGTCCATGAAATATTAAGGAAAACGGAGATAATGTTAAAGTAAATATCAATGAATATGCAAAAATATGTGAAAATAGGAGTAAAAACTTAATCTATTTACAACTCACTTCTTTGGATTTCAGTCTCTTTTTTTCTCGAATAAACTACGTTGTCTAAGCAAAACATAAAGTTTATTATAACATCGAAATAGCGTCAAAATGTTTTTAAAATGATTATTATTATGATTATTATAAAAATCATTTAACGATTTATTTTGACCTCAAAATCATTTTATAATGGCTTGTTGTTTTGCTTGGGATATATGTGTACGCTTGTTTCATTTCCAATAAATAAGAACATATGACCCAAATAAATTTAATGAATCGCGAACTTCATTGTCTTTGAGAAAGGAAGGATGTCGTATGTAAGATTTAATATCCGCATATCCTACTTACATTTTTATTAAAAAAATTGTTATACTTATTTATAAATCTATTTATAAACCTAAGCAGTCATATTTAAATTGATGAGCATGTGAGATAAGCGATCCTTCCTTCATGATTACTTCTATCTTCCTTGACGTTTAATAATTCCGGCGCTACGACCTTCAGAACAGCGTTCACGTTCTCGCAGCAATTACTACAGACAATTGTTTGTCCACGTACTGAAAGGTCCTTTCCCAGAAGCTTGATATTCTGCAAGGCAATCGATTTTATGTTAATTACAACGCGACGCGATAAGTGTAGTACACAACAAGCCGTAAAAATAAAATATGCAATCGTGAGAATAAACACGTATAAAATTAGAGCTGAACAAAATTGCAAGGTAAAATCTGGATCGATATATATTACTCAACGAAGAAGTTTCTTTAAAAATTTAACAACTTATTCTTAAAACGCAACAACTTATTCTTTAAACACTATGTGTTTGTACAAATGATTTTTCGAATAAGTAGATTATTCATCAGTAAATTTATCAATTTCTCTCATCAAAATTTTTCAAGATTTCAATGTATTTAAATAATTAATATTAAATGTATGTATAAAATCCGTAAACTTCATAATCCTTTTAAATGGCTTTATAAGTTCTCTACTTCTGTAACTGATTATTGAGTGTTAAACAACTGATCTATGTATAATTTTGCAATATTATTTTCTATAAAAAAATTAAATTTTTTAAATAATCTCAGAAAAACTAATCTAATTTTTTAATTAAATTGCTCTTACATATATATAGCTATTACATATATATAGTAGTTACATTGAAAACAAAGTTAATTTTAAATAATTTTATTTAAATGCTTCTTAATAGACATAGTAAGATCCTAGCGAAAATAAAAATCCATCTATAAATGTAAGTGCAAAATGACAGCAGTGTAAATGAAGTTTCTAGGAAGCATAAATTGGAACAGAACAGCACGTAAAAGAAGCATTTAAGAAGTAAATAACCCTTTTAAGTTCACTGTTTCAATTTACACCTTCTGAAAGTTTTACTACGCTTCCATCGCTCTTCTTTTTCATTTGATCTATGCTACAATTTTTACCAGGATATTGCTAAATAAATGCGATTAGGAGATTTTTAATCGAAAATTAAAAGGGGGAGATTCTTATAT